CATGTGTGTCCTACATGGTCGGGCATGGTGGGTTTGCAACCTTTTGCAATCGTTTCTTATACCTTGAAAGGGTTAGCAAAAGATGATCGAGTTTGTAAAGTCCTCGATCGCCTTAGCGTTTCCTAACCCATGCGGCCTTAGGAATTCCTTTCCTTTCCCACACTCACTCGCTCACACAAATCTTTAGAGAGAAGCTTCTAGAGAGAAGTTTTGGATTTGTATTGCTCTTGTGAGAATGAAATGTATTAATAAGGAGAAACCCTTTTATATATAAGTACCGGCTCAACTATATCCATAGATCTCTCATCGATCTAACGGTGTAGATTGGATCTTCCCAACCACCATCTATCCCATTTATTACGGGAGTGTACAATTATCATATTGCCCGCCCTCAAGAGTATTCTAGAACATATAACAAAACCGTAGTACTTAAAATCCTCGAGATCCGCCCAGTCATTCAAGGATCAGTCACGGTCCTTCTTTCAGGATCTTCGGCTAGCTAGACCAACATAGTAATTACACTGTAATTATGTGAATTGGGTACTTTTACGGATTTGTTGTAGCTTCATGTAGGGATGTCACTGAAATTTATCCAGTAATAAGGGTGCTGATTCACCCAAACAAAGTTCCGGCAAATCAACTGGAATATCATTAACATAACTCTGTAACTTCCATGTCGTGATGTTAAACGAGGATAATACAAAAAACGAAGTAATATGAGTGGTGGATGGATTTCATCGATCTGTGCAGGTAGCTTCGGTCGCCCAAGCAGAAACCTTGCTCTTCTGGAAGCCCTAAAGTACCTCTCTGCGTGAAAGAGAGAAAGTCTCTTACTCGAGTCAGACTATGTTGATCTGATAAGCACACTCACAAGTGCAGATCAGCCTAAATGGGAAGTCAAGAGTAATTATTGAACTGCTGAGTTCCAACCTCCTATTTATCTGTCAAATTGTCGGTTGATCCAACATGATGCACTCTGAAATACATATTTTACTGTTCTTTCTGTTAGAAACATCTTTTCAATTTGACTTGCAGCACTTTCATATTTCTAGTTGCATCAAGTCTGAACTCTTAACCCATGGTACATCACTATCACAGTAAATTTGTTTTAATACATTCGATACCGATAATGGAGCAGGCACTTCATGCGTGACTCACTCAAAAGAAAAACACATCAACCTAGCATCTGTTAAACAAGATTTTGGCATCTGAATCATGAAGATGACAAATTAATTTAACGCAGTGATGTTTACAATTTCTTGATGCATGGCAAACACTAGTAAATTACTTTGAATTATTTTTCTCTGTCAAGCTAAGCTGTCCAGTATTCCAATCCGGTTAGGTTGGTATTCCAAGTCAGTTGAACTCCATTTTGGTTGAGATACACTCAGGGAAGATGACTTAGGCCCGATTGAGGTTATCTTCTTTCTTGTTTTCCACCATTCCCCGAAACTCTTAGAAAAGTACAATGATTTCTCTGTCCTACAACAATGACAGAACGACCCGAATAATCGACCCGTTTTCCGAGCAGAGTCTCATGAAATGTTCCCTCTTCACCTTCATTTACATTTGAAAACGACTTGTAAACCTTATTATAGGTATATGGAGATAATATTTTCTTCTTCTTTCTGACAAGAAAGGAAAGAGAAAAAGGACTATCCCTGGCAGAACATCCTGGTGGGCCGGGGGTGGCGATCACCAGATCTGTTATGACGGGAAGGTCATTGCTCTCGAAAGGTCTCTCGCGTTCTACGATTGCCCAAACAGGAAACAAGAATGTCATTGCACGGTCATGTATGAGCACCTACTAGAGAAAGATGGGGACCAACAGGATAACTATCCAAATCTTAGATACGAGTGGGGGTAATTACTAGGGGTTGCAGTCTCTTGTCCATGATGGTATAGAAGAATGGAAATTAGCTTAAGCTCACGTTTCGACCTTAACACGTTTCATCCACCCTTGTAAATTTCTCCGAATGGCTCCTCCATCATCCTAAGTCGTTGGGAAACCAAGAATCGGGCCATCCGCTTCCATGAGTTGGCCTTGTCTAAAATATCCTTTCAACTTCTCTCAACGTGCTGCACATCAGTGTGACATGCATCTCATCCTAAGCGATGCTTAAATGTTGAAATCACTCACACTTCATTGTCTTGCTATATCAAGCATGTATCATTGCTTCGCGGTATAAGCACTACGATCTTGTTGTGATCATGCATCGAAGCTTGATTACTTTTCTAAATATAGCGCTATTTTAATGTTTTTTACAGTGTATAAAATACCAGGATTTCGACCTCAAGCAAGGCAGGATTCAGAAGCCAAGCCGTGCACTTTCGTTTTCCTAGATCACTATTCTAACATAACCAACGGAGGGCATAAGGAAGCACTCCGTTGTGCCTTCTCACTCTTCGATCATACGTCGGCACCAATTAGCGCCTCTGAGTCTAAGCCGTCAATAGTGATCACATCCCAACAAGCACGTCGACGGAAAGCATCCAAGCGACATAAAAGCATAATCAGCACCCACGTGCTCATACAAATCCTCCAATTTACTCCTGGAAGCTTAAGCTGGGCGACCTGAGGCAATTGATATCGGCCATTGTTATATTTCGTCGGTCCGCCCATGATGTGTGTGTCCAAGGGACACCATTTGCTCTAATAAGAAGTGTGTCTGAGAGACACCTTTTGAAGAGGTGCGAGAAGAGTTTCTTAAGGGAAGTTAAGATAACTTCCTCTAATAATGAACAATTTACAAGAATAAATTAAGAACTCTCTCTCTCTCTCGACGTATTAAGATTTAGTATCTACTTTGAGAAGACAATCGGCATTAACGTTGTGGAACGAGAATACTTTCCTTGTGATTGTATTCGGACCAACGTGTAGTAAATTCGTTCATCGTTTGCTGGTGATTCAACGTACGGTCCTGGAAAATTTATTTGGAGTGCATCAAACAGGTTAGTCGATTCTCCCGACAATCTCTTCCAACAGCCATGAATTTCTCGATGCTGTCCCCGGTGTCGAGAAAGACCAGGCACTCGCTCTGCAAGGCCTGGAACGTTCGGTGCAACAAATTCTCTTTGCAGAACTGAAGCACGATCTTCACCACACTGGTAAAGGTTGTTATAGTTCATAGAACTGAATAGTTCACCGTGTGGTAGGAGACTCAAGCATGCAGAAACAGTGAGTACCATTTCTTGGAACTAGCAGGTTAAAGAGTGAGAAAGACAGAGAACGACGCAAGTTCTCCCAAAGACGAGAAATTTATAGTCGAAACAATCAAAGCTACGGCCAATCTATCCTACTCGGATACAACCAGACAAGACAAAAAACAAGACATACCCGAAACAAAAGAAAGAGGAAGAAGAGGACTTACTCGCGGGCTTCGATTTCTGGCATAGGCGCCGACATTTCGGCAGCTGAGAGAGAGAGAGAGAAGGAGAGTGTGCGCGTTAAGGTTTTGCAGTGAGAACGTAAGATTAATCAATCAGTTGAATTTTGGTGCGCCATGAAATCCGGGGGCTTTGCTTCTGCTTGGTCCGGCTCTCCATTGGAGTGGCAGAGGAAGTGGGAGGCAAGAATCCAGTCGATTCGGTTCGGTTCTCAGTTCAGTTCGGTCCTGTCCAAACCTTCCATTCTTATCGCGGGTTTTGAAGGGGTATTACCGGATCGTCCCACTTTGTTTTGCTTTCATTTTTGGCGAATGAAGCTGTTTGAGCCTGCGAGCATAATCGTACCGTAACGTCAAATACTATAACGGTGTTGTTTCAGCCGCATATTGCAAATGATAAGAGATTCGCCACGAGAGGAGCAAAAGACTCTGTAGGCTCCGTTTGTTTGGCTCGAAATGAATGGTTTGGAAAATATTTTTGAAAAAAATGATCCTTTGCATCACTTGAAATAATAAGCAAATAAAAATATTTTTATTATCAACAATAATTTATATCTAATCATTTTCGTGGATGATAAAAAATTTTCTGTTTACTTATTTCTATAAGCGATCATTTTTAAGAAAAATATTTTCTAAATCATTTATTTTTCACGAAGCAAACGGAGCCGTAGTTTCTTGAGCAACCAACAATTGAACTGCAATTGTTTTTATTTAGAGAAACATACCCACTACATGATATCATTAGCATAAGATGTTAATGAGATGCCATTTTAAATGGTGGACATAGCACCAAAATAGAAAGAAAAATATATTGAATGTAATTCATTAACTAATGCAAACACAAACTTTCTTTTATTTTATTTTCCGTCATAACTAGTACTGGTTATCATTTTAATTTCGAGAAAAATACATAATCATACATCGACTTCTCAATCACATGAAACGGCATAGGATGACGGATCACATTTGCACTTGATTACAACTAAACATCATGACATTGTAAAATACGAAAATTATTTCAAGACCTTTCAGTTTCGACAGGCAAAATGTCATAAAATTAAGAATTTACGTTTCAGAACCTTTTGAACTTAAATACGATTAGATGTAGTAAACACTCGTACAATGCATAAAGTTAAAAACCTGTATTTTATGACGTTCTAAAATTGCTTATGACAAAACTTTATGTAGCCTCTGTAATAATATCAATAAATTAGAAAATCATGTTTGACGTATTGCACTTATTTACTGTATAACATATGCAACCTTATTAAAGTTAAAAACCTGTATTTCCCGCTTATACATAAAGATTCTCAGTTTGACTATTGATGCGCTAAGCTTTGAAACCAACCTTCATATTTGCAACTTTTGTCAGTAGCTTATGGATTTTGATACTATGATTCCAATGTTCTTGTTCATCTCAGCCGCACAAATTGATGCCTTGGATATTCTCACCTGGAAGCTGCCAGTGAACAATGACGACCTCTTGCTAAGGTTGCAGCAGGAAGGCCTATATCAGCACATGGGAATTTTTCTTCTTCTTTTTCTGGATAAATCAGTCGATGTTATTGATTCTGATGCAGAATTACAGTAGCGTCACCATGAGCTAAGACTGAGTACGCCAGAAAGTACGATTGAATACAGATCTTTATCAGTTTCATTGTGCAAAACATATATTAACACATTCTTTCTTGACATTTTGCTAATAACTTTACGCACACCTCAACATAACTTCAATCCTCATCGTTATCCCCATATATGACATATGAGTAGGCACGGCGTTGTTATAGAGAGAGAGAGAGAGAGAGACAGTCACTACATTACGTCAAGATCAATATCACATGACATTGGCAAATCTTGTAGTGCCAGTGGGCAGGTTGACCTGGGAGAGATGGATCTCCTGAGGCAGGAGATGATACTTGATGTCCAAGTTTTCGAACATTTTCTTCAATTCCAGGATGAGCTCTGACTTCCGGCTGCTCCTCTCACCGTAGTTCTGGTGGTTCATCGTGTGCTGGACGCACAGGCACATCTTCATCTTGTTCACGTTCTCGATCTCCTTCACTATCACCGAGTGCTTCGGGCTCCAATGCTTCGGCTTGCTCTCTATGTACCTGCATGCAACACATTTTCCGAATTAGCATGGCGTGCTTTTCACCTTGTTTTGCCAAGTATTCCACATATATAACTTTCTCGTCACGTATGCAGATCAATGGCATTGGTTATAATTACGATTGTATGGCCTTCTTGAGAGCATTGATGGTGTCGATTGAAGTGGAAACGTCGACGGCAAAATCAATAGTATCGGCCATGTCCGGGCTTCTCCTGAAATTGCTAATTGGCTTCGTGAGGAGGACTGAGTTTGGGTAATAAATTTTCTCCATGTCATACCGCAGGAACACCGTGGTCAGAATGTTCATTTCCTCTACAATCATCTACAGAAACGGAAAAGATAATCCATCAGCTCTTGCAGCGGTTTCAGGATTGTAATTGATCCTTAATTACTATGAGCAAAGTGCCACCTGAATGCCATCGATGACGCAGCGGTCACCGACGTCGAAAGGGTGCATCACGAAGACAAAGATGATGGACTCAAACACGGTCTTGCAGGTGTTTTGGAACATGAACCCCACGAGCAGTAGCTGTGACGTGACAACAAAGATCACCTTGGTTGTTGCCAGCCCCAAGACCAGGAGCGAGACGATGATTATGATCACCACAACGATTGCACTGGCCAACTTGTGCAGCTGTTGCACGGCAGTCTTAGTGTCGTTAAGGGAATGCGCAAGTGCCTTGCGCTCGAAATAGGCGTGCACCTACCGTAATGAAAAGATTGAAGATCGCCAGAATGAGGGTTCATTTAACCTTATTCCTCAATAAATTTCCAAGGCCATACTTAGAATGAAAAAAATCGCGAAAGCATTATTACCACCCAATTTCTGAAGGAAGACTTCGTAATTCTTCCCGTCTCCATTGCACCTTCGAAGAGCGGGAATATAGTATGCACTTCCTCTCTCTTCAGGAACCTCAGTAGATCCTCTTCTTCTATGTACCTGTGTCGTCGGTGATCACATGACGGGCGAGAGATCAGATGTACAACCACATTGGTGTCTCTCGGAAGCAAAAGAGGAGAAAAAGCAATCTTTTTAACATCATGGGTCGTCCAGACTAAATTATTCACTTTCCTTGAGATGAAGCTGTGACCAACATGTATCTACTGATTATGCAATAATCATGGTCAGTGGTCACAGTTTATGCAATAATGCATTGTTTTCTCCTGAGTTGAGGTAGCACATTAATTTGCTTTCTTGGCAATGGCCTACGATTAGCTCAAGTATCTTGCTGCTAGTTGACCTTTTTTATCTAACAAAGGTTTCTAGTCAAACATCTAAATTCAACTGCCAAGCTGATCAAGAGGATGAGCTTGTAAACCTCAGTATACTCATTGCATGCATGTCTTTGCTCTTTGTAATTACCCAATATCCTCTTTTTTCAAATGATAAGGAAGTCACTTAACGTAAATTCCATCCTCAATACCTAATAACCTTATGAGCAAGGTAAAACACGAGACGGTTTTGGTAGGTAACTCAAACATGAGATTGTTTACCCTTGATGATGTAAGGAATCGAATATGCGTCATGCGCCTAATTCACACAGAATTAAGCTACTTTTGTGTTTTATGCAGTGGTACAAAGTCCAAATCCAAAAGTTTTAGCTGATAACTAGTGGAGGAAGACTAGATGAACGTATATAGCCATGAGAACCCATAAACAAACGAACTGCACAAAAAACCAAAAAAATAGAATCCGTGGAGAGGATGGCCTTTTGACTGTGTGCAAGAAAGAAGGAAATCAAAGGGGTGGCAATTCTTTACATGCCACAAGCACGACTCCAACACGAATAAAATTTACTAAAAGAAACTCGAACGATATGACACGGTTAGCTCGGAATTGACCCGAAATTATACGTTTTCAACCATTTTAAATAAGAAAACTTTATAACCATGCTAAAATATTTTGGCGATAAAACGAATAACTAGTATGAACACGATGACACCGTTTGAACTGCCACTCCTAAATTCAACTAAATTACCTGTCAAACCAAGTCTACCCGCACTAAAATAAATCGGTTGGCCATTTTTGTTTTCTTTTGTCTAGGATAACTTACAAAGAAAAACGTATACACAGTTAGACACCAATTTGTGATACAATAGAATGCTTTGTGACGAATGGTGGATACATTAAATCCTCAGGATACTAGTGTTTCATGCCAAGGAATACGATTTTTTCATTCCGATAAGAAAGATAATGTAAAATAGGTAAAAGATTAAAAAAAATCGGTAATTTGTATATTGACAAAAGGAGTTTATAATTTCATAAAAGTGTCGGTAAGTTACCAAAAGGAATTTGGGTGACCATTAACTTTTTTTTATCGATATTTTTTCGACACTTACCAACTTTTTCAGATTAGCAACATAGGAAAGAAAATAAATTTTTCTTTTCGAAAACGGAACCTTAACAATGATGTGAGCATTTTTCTGTACTCATAGTATTTCATTTTCTTTCATCCTATCCACAAAATGCAGCATTTCTTCTGCAATTTCATTGAGGTCTCTTTCTGTATCCGTTACCTTTTGCTCGTCATTGAGGATCCACAAAACTGCCAAAACTAGACAAAAGCAAAGAAGACAAGGGAGGCTGAAAGAACGGGTTTTCTTTCTTTTCCTTGTGGCCATGAATGAGGATCCACAAGTCGAATTCGATTCAAGATCGTGATTGATGATGATGCTTGCGCATTGGAAATGGAATAATATGCAACAGAGATCACGACGAGCTCTAATGGTGGGTGGTAAGTTTGCAGCTTTTTTAGGTCCACTATCAGAATTACTCCATTGCATCACCAATCAATATGGCGCAATGTGGAAGTCCAACTTGTCTTTTGACAGACACATTTATGGACAGCCACATGGCAAATATGTTGTTTTTCAACCTGAAATTCCCTCGTCGACAAGGACCACAGGGACGACGACGACGACGGCGGCGGCAACAAGCTGAAATCTAAGGCCTGCCTCTGGTGGAGCTCGACCGAGCTCCCTAGATCTCAGATTTAGAGGCTCGATCAAGCTTCGAATCTGGATCGATCCTATGTTGACGGCTCAGATTGGACTTGATCTAAGGTCAAAGAGGGTTAATAGATGTTGTAGGTGGCCTGTGTGACATCGATGATCACCATCTAGTCCCTGCCCAACAAATGCAGAGCGGGGAGGGGGAAGAGGAGAGAGATAAAGAGGCGATTGGGTGGATCTTATTGATGTTTAGAATCAGGGAGAAAATAACAACAAAGTCTTTATAGTGACTCTACCCAATTAGAGTTGTATAATATATATTTATAAGAGCGGTTAATTGCAATCAGGGTACAAATAAAAACTTAATTACAAAAAGACCATGTAATACATATAAATTACACATTAATAGATCTACCCCAATTAGGGTTGAGCTCGAGTGTAGGCCACGGGGTGGCCGACGACATTAGGGACAAGGGACAGCACACGAGGTAACTAGGGCATGGAAGAGGAGAGAGAAAAGGGGAAATTATGGGTTTTTGAGTTGATAGTTGGGATATTTTCGGCGGTGTGGTCTATCGCCATGTGCCGCAAATCCCACGGCGGATTCGATGGTTATTGGGAGTGGCTATACCACTTCTCCCCATTTCACGGGAGATGTGACGGTCGAACATGGTCTCGATAAATATCCATCGGTGACTTATGAAAATAAGATTTTCATCAACGGTTGAGATTTGTCGAAGCACAGGGTAAATGATCTTTACCGGCAAAAAGATCAATTTACATCACAAACGACACTATATTAGAATTTCATGTCTTTTAGAAGGAACCTCTAACCCGGCTCTCGTGTCAATCGATTGATCTAATATGACGAGACGAGTCTAGACATTATTCAAAGCAGACTCAAGAATACATACTTACAACAAAAGATGCTGCCCAACTCCGAACAAGAAATGGTGGATAAGGCCCTTCGAAAAGGCTCCACCTGTTGTTTTTTGGTGACGCTCGTCGCTAGCCATCACTGTCAATTTGAGCACTGTGGTAACTAGTGGCTAGCGAGTAGTGACTTGGTGAGACCCCCCACTCAATCAAAGGCGCATGCTACACGTGTGTGTATATCTAGAGAGAGACACACACAAATACATATATATATATATATATATATATGGATTTTTGTTCACTGATTGATAGAAGGGTAAAATTATTCAAAAAATCCTAAATTTATTCACTTTTATCAATTCAGTCTTAAACTTTTTAATTATGTCTATTGAGTCCTAAATATTTTTTCACGTTTTGCCAATTGAGTCCATTTGACCAATTTTGACCGAAAATCTCTTACGTGGATCCCGGCCATCTTATGTGGCACGGTTGATGCTAATATAGACAATTTTTTTATAATATTTGAATTTTTTCAAATTTATTTATTTATTCTTTTCTTTTCTTTTTCCTTTTTTCTTTTCTTTCCTTTTTTTTCTTCCCTTCTTCCTCTAAGCCGATCATCAGGCCTTGGCAACCGGCCAAGGGCAAGGGCCGGCGAGGTCCTCCGGCGAAGCTCACCCCCGCTGCCATTGGCGAGGGTCAGCCTCACCCGCCCTTGGGGAGGCTTGACCTTGCCGTCGCCGCACAAGGTCGACCTCGTTGGTGAGGCTCGCCATCGCCAAGCTAGCAAGTACGGCCTCGCCGAATCTAGCAAGACCGACCTCGCCGGCCCTCGCCTGTGGCCAGTCGGTGACCATCGCTGAGGCCTAGTGACCAACTAGAGGAAGAAGGGAAGGAAAAAGGAAAATAAAGAAAAGAATAAATAATCGAAAAAATATTAAAATATTATTAAAAATTATCTACGTCAACGCCGGCCTTGTCACGTAGTACGGTCGGTATCCACATCAGTGATTTCTAGTTAAAATTGACAGGATGGATTCAATTGACAAAACGTGAAAATGTTTAGAATTTAATTGGCACAATTAAAAAGTTTAGAACTGAATTAGCAAAAATAAAATAAATTTAGAACTTTTTGGATAATTTTCTCTTGGCAGAAGATTCGGCAAAATGAGAGCAACTCGAAAAGAGTGACCGTCTTTTCGTTGTCATGCTCCGCTTTCGGAGTCACATAAAGCAAGAAAACACCTGGTTCGTGACAATTATGTGGCACGCATGGACTGTCTTGATTTTGATACTTTGATCATGTCATGCACCTAGGCAATATTATATGCAGCCATCTTAATGATGTTAAAACCTTGGACGTTTGACGAAAGAAATACATCATGTAATGATGATCAATGATACTTAACTACTGGCGAGCCAAGTGGGGAGAGAAAACATTGCATATTCTCAGCCTACGGGTAACGTGATGGACAGCCAATTACAACTAGTTTACGCATATTCTTGAAGTGAAAACTTGTTTTCTAAGTGCAACCGGTGTCGGTTCTGTCACATATTCTTGAAATGCAATTGACTTGCTGTAACCTAATTTGACGTTAACATTGATCGACAGTCACTTACTTGGCACCGGGGTTGGCGACATTCTTGAAGATCCTGTGGGCGCAGCTCCTGGCCTCCCGCTCGCTGTTGATCTCGGAAGACTCGGCCTTGGTGAAGTCGTCGACGGTTCGGGAAATGGTAGATAGGCCGGAGAAGCGGACGTAGTTGACGAGCCGCTTCACGGTCCAAGCCGTGGGTCGGCCCTTCATGCTCAGTTTCTTCAACTTCTCCATGTCGATCTTCCTTGACCCGAACCTCGTCGACTTCGTCACCATCAGTAGTTGTTGTTGAGCCGGCACATCGCCTCGCAACCTTGCCGGCAGAGACTTCGACACCTAGTTGAACCAAAGAGGTCACTAACTAGAGCATTCTCAGATAATATTGAGTATATAAATTTTCAACTTAACTAATCTTCATGGGTGCGTGAAAATAATCTCCACGACACGCATCGTGTAAGTATTCATCACGGGGTTAGAACTTGGCCCTGATAATTAGAAGTAGAATTAATGGTGACTTTTATTTAAAGTCTGTTTAGTATAACTTTCTTGCAACAATTTTATCCGTAAAATATAGAAGTGCTATAATTTTTATAAAGCGTCCGAAACACACTTTATATCGTGCAACAGCTCCACATATTTAGCACTATACAATAGGGTTTTTTTTTTTTTTTTGGTTTGAAAACTACCTCATCATTTTTGCAACTTCAAAATATATAAAGTACTATAAAAAAAAATTAAATTTGCAGGACTTCACCTCGCAGCATAATTATAGCGTAGCACAGTTAAGGCATAAGCATATATATAGCTAAACTAAAATAACTTGGGCCGACTAAACGAAGGTGACCATGACTCAAAAGACCAAATAGTTCCAAATTGAGTATTCGTGTGTATGATGGGATTAAATTGAAATGGCCAATGGCCTGTTTTGTGTTCAATCTTATGAAAGTAATAGGATATATACTGAAGGGGAAAAAACATCAAATAATTCTTGGATTGAATGATAATATATATATGTGAATCTCAAGTGAAACTGACGCGATGAAAATGTTATAGATAATTTGGGCTCTTATGCACCATGTACATGCAAGAAATCCCAACATCTTTTACCTGCAAGCCGTGCCGGAGCGGAGCCTCCCTCTCCTCCTCCTCCAGTGGCGGGCCGGAGAGCGCGTCGAGCACGTAGTGGTGGAACACGCTCTCCTTCATCCGGTCGAAGAAGGTCGTGACGTGGAATGACGAAGCCAGCACCTTCACCAGCACGATCTTCACCAGCCAGAAGGTGGCCGCGACGAGCACTGCGATGAGGATCCGGAACGCCCGCCTGACCACCTGGTAGTTGCCACCGCGCACGTTCGGGAACATGATCACCCACGCGACGAGCACGAGCCCGAGCCACGCACAGTTCTGGAAGCTCCGCCGCAGGCCGTACACGAAGTAGAGGACCTTCTCGCGGAGCATGAAGTTGCGTTCGATGAGGAAGACGAGGAGCCCCACAGCCCACCCGGAGACAAGGCGGCCGCAGAACAGGACCAGGACCATCACGCACCACTTCCACAGCATGAGGCCGAGGACGGGGCGGCAAGCGAGGGGCTCGATCGTGAGGGAGCAGACGAGGCAGGTGGTGATGATGAGGAAGAGCGTCCACTCGATGGCGGCCCGCTTGTTGATCTTGTTATTCCGGCGCCACCTCCAGTGCTTTCCCCGCTGTTCGTCTTCATCCCCGTCGAGCCATTCATCATCGTCATCGTCATCGTCGGAAGAGCAGGAGGAGGAGGAGGAGGTGGGTTCGGGCGGGGGGTTTAAGGGCTGGAGCTCGTCGGGGCCTTCGAAGATGGTGATGGTGGGTTTGGGTGAAAATGGGAAGGTGGCGGGTTCGGAGAAGCGGGACTTGGGCTTGGAGAAGGCGAGGCGGCGGAGGGTTTTCGTTCGGGATGGGGTTTGGAGGGTTGTTGGTTCGGCAGCAGTGGCCGGAGAGGCTTTGAGCATGAAGTTTGGTTGGTCTGTAGTTGTACTAGTGAATAGGATTACATGGTCGTTGGTGAAGTTGTTAAGGTCAAGCTCTGCCTCTGGAACGTCCATGGCTGGTGCGAGAGAGAGAGATTGTGCAGGTGAAAGATTTGCTTTTGGAGAAGAAGAAGCTTTGGCTTTGTTGTTTCCTTGAAGATGGCAGGGTCATATATACTAATGGCAATTTGCCATTGAGAAGAAGAAAGGAAGGAAGCCTTTGCTTTTGCTGGCTTTGGAGATGTGTCGTTGTATGCGGATCATCATTAGAGGAATTGTAGTGAAAGGAAATACTTATATATTTTACCTTTAATAATCAATACAAAAGTTTAAAGTTAGTTTTTGAATCCCTATCCTTCCGTATATTAAATATCCAATTATTAAAGCCTAAATAATATTTTATATTGAAGATCGACCTAATAGCAATCGAGAAAATTACAAAAAAAGTCATAAATCTATTTGCACTTATCTCAATTCTGTCATAAACCTTTCAATTATGCCGATTCAGTGCTTAACATTTTGACAACTTGCCAATATAGTCCTTCTCACCAATTTTGACCGAAAAACACTGACGTAACAATCCAATCAGCGATAGCCGTCCTACGTAGCATATCGACGCTGACACAAACAAATTTTTTAAAAGAATTTGAATTTTTTATATTTTTCTGAATATTTCCTTTTTATCTTTTTTATTTATTTTTCCATTTTATGTTTTTTTCTTTCCTTTTTTGCCGGTGGCCAGCCTTCGCCTAAGACCCACTGGCTAAAAGGAAAGAAAAATAGAAAAAGAAAAAAAGAAAAGAAAAAAGGAAAAAAATTCAAAAAAAAATTGAAAAGTGTTCAAGTTAGCTTTGGATCGTTAGGTCAGCGTTTTCTAGTCAAAATTGGCCGGAATGATTAAATTGACAAATTGTCAAAAGGTTTGGGACTAAACTAGCATAATTAAAAAGTTTAGAACTGAATTTGCACAAATACAATAGGTGTAAGACTTTGTTTTGTAATTTTCCCAATAGAAATTTTATACCTATTATAGGATTCTCTGAATCTCCCTATATTCGCATCGTGGAAAATGTTTCCACCTCAAAAAATTTTCCTCTAAACAATCACTATTTGATTTGATTACATGTTTAAGTGTAATCTAAATGGAAGAGGAAAAGAAAAAAGCAACACCTATACCCTCTCTCCATCCACTCCGTGCCCCCAACCCTCATCGCTAATCAACAATTAGATTCCATTTGTTTCGAAGAAAATAAATTATTTTGAAAATATTTTCCTAAAAATGATCGCTTGTATCGCTTGAAATAATTAGTCAATGAAAGATATTTTATTATTAACAACTATTTATGAATAAAAAATTTTGTGGACAATGAAAATGTCGTATGTTTATTCATTTATGTAAGTGACACAAGAGATTATTTTTTAGAAAAAGATTTTTAAATCATTCGTTTTTCGCAAAACTATTTAGCTAGAATTTCTCTTGCAATGAAATATCTTTCGCCGAAAATCGCTCTTCGATCTTTTATTGAAGAAGACAGGTTCTGCGCCAACTTCGAACATGAAATATCACAAGTCGTAATGAAATCAACAACTCAAATTCAAATGGGGTTGTACAAACACAAACCGTGCTGGAATTTAATCAACGACGAGGTCTGGAAAATACAGACTTTATGAAGAAACCGAACGTTGAAAAATTTATGTCGAAATTTAATAGACAATAAAGCTTGAGAATGCAAAGATATTACGTCGGAATTTAATCGACGACACAACACCCAGGATAAAGATACATGCCAGAAATTAATCAACCACACGAATATGGGAACTACAGCTAAGAAACACGCAGAAATTTAATCAACGACGCAAGTCTGGAAAATAAAAGCACAATGTTGTAAAGTAGAGATAACTGAAAGATTGTAAATTTATTTAATTAGTGCGGGGGCTCTTCAGTAGATGGGCGATGGCATTTATAGTGGTAGTGCCATAACCGCTTTTGAGCAATTTCCACTGGTTGTATCCGTGTTCTTCCATCTCTAGGAATTTTGTGCCCATATTCTCATGACACCAAGATCTCACTCTCGGACGGTTGCTCCTTCAAAAGCACATGCCAATTGTTCCACGATCTCAATTGCTTTGTCCTCGAGTGACTTCAAACTAGTTACCATATCTAGACATTCCTTATGTATTTGGTTTTCTTATAACACCTTGATAGTTTACCGATCATCACTTGTCGATCGTTGTTAATTACCCGTCGTCATATATCGACAACTGATTGGTGGTGACTATCAACATGCGCGAATATCGATATCGATCCTTGTAATCATCAACAATGCACCACGTGCATAACAATATCCATGCAATAGTCACATGCTCATCCATGTCGACGACTTGGGTCTGCTTCTTTTTTGTGTAAATAGAGACGAACTAGTTTCATTGCTCTATTGGGTCCACCGCCAGCCGGCTCTCCCGTTGCCTGTAAAAGCACCACCACCAACACCCACTATCGCCTCCACCAGCGCGCCACCAACGGCCACTACCATCACCGCACCGCCCTCCCACCCCCACCTTCTTTTCTCTCCTAGATTGAGGTCACTATAGAGTCAATGACCCATGATCTATATCATCCAAGGCAACATCAATACTCGATCACTAGAGAAATATAGGCGTTGCCATTCGATAACTGGCATCATGTGGATTGGTGCTCATGATGTGCCTGTTGATAGTTTTTGAAATACAAACAATGAAAAGATATGAATGTGTAGATCAATATATAAGTGCAAAGCGTCTAACCTTACAAATGAAGACCATGGGCTAAGTGGACTAGATTCTACGGTACTCACGTGCAGGTGCGCGATTATTAGGTGTACTTAGCACATGAAAAGTTAAACCCTCTTGAAACAGTATATCTATCCACACTAAACTTTCGGAGGGTTGTATCCATTCAAGCATAATTTTTCAATATTATAAAACCAACGTTTCTATTTAATAATTTTCACATTTCAATTTTCTTTTCTTTCTTAAAAAATACAACATTTATTCTCCAATTGTTTCAATTTTTTTATTTGGTATTTTCATTTTAAGAATTTGTTGTATTTTGAAGGATTTTTGTGAGTAACCATTAACAACCTTATGGGGCAAACAATTCTTTAAAGATAGTGTATTCACACCTCAATGTCCGATTTTATTCTTCCTTATCATCATATCTAACGGTGCCCAAAGACGACAACGGGAGAGTTGAGGTGAGAACAATGTAGGAGACGAAGGAAACAAAGTGCTAGAAAAAGGATTGCTTCAACCAAATCGAAAGTTAAGTTTGCCCATCCTAGGAAAAAAAAATTCTAGATCTGCTTTACGGTAATCCCTATCTTAGCCTTTATTAAAGTACTCTAAATGTACACAGGAAAACCCTAGATACAAAAAAGGATCACTTTAGCCTCCTCGAGGCCCTGTTATGCACTAGGAAACCTCGCGCCATGGTGTTAGATATATTTAGATTATTTATGATATCTAACACCTACACCTGAAATGTGTTGCTAGTGCTCTTGTTCTTTACTTTATTATCATGGTTTTACTAGGAGGCGTCATTACAAGGCTGCTTATACTAAATTTTCCTACGGAGGAGTTAGAAGCACAACCAACGACGTGGGAGTAGTTATACAGGTAGAGTGGAAGAGATGACCATTGCCACCAAGAAAGAAATTTTGTGAGGGAAACTACATGTCCATAAAGAGTGAATCAAGAGAAGAAGTAGGGGTGAGCATGGTTCGAGGTTCTATCCTAGAAGCTGAGAACCTGACCAGTGAGAACTTATAAGTTCCAGGTTCCAAAAATTGAGAACATGTTTCGATGGGTAGTTTTCAGGTTCTAGGTAGATGGAACCTGAAACATGGAACTTGAAACATAAATAAGCTTTTTGTGTTTTTTCTTGGTCTATATCTTTGCGTGATCATATGGTGTTTCATGGCGTTAGATGATGAGTGTATAATTTGGAACCACTAATCTGAGCTTTTATTTTATAACTTGTTAATGTTTCATATTTTTCGTATGTCTAAATATAAGTTATGGTTAGTAAATCATAGCAGCAAGTGATGGTCATCAAAGGTGATGATTCATTGTAATTATTCAATTAATAATACAGGTGAAACCTGGGTAGTCGTTGGAACAGATCTAAAATCTATGATAGGGTAGGTTCCAGATTCTAAAAAATGAGGAACATATTCTCATGGGTAGGTTCTAGGTTTCACCTGTACGAAACATGGAACCACTCACCCCTAGTATCAATTCACATAATGACTTCTCATTTTAATTGTATTTATTTGAACCGTAATGCCATGAAAACTAGTCTTTTGTATTCTCTTTTGTGAATGACAAGCTTGTTCAGTATTGTTGCGTTAATTTTCATTTTGAAATAAAAAAAAAAGAACCTATTAGACCTTGACACCTGTGACGGGTAAGTTCTAGGTTCCAAGTTCCAATGAATAAGTTTCAGGTTCCAAAAAATGAGGAATCTATACTCAAAAGTAGGTTCTAGGTTCCAGGTGGAACCTAGAACCTGGAACCGCTCACCCCTAAGAAAAAGAGGGCGCGCGCTCACCATGCCGAAATCACGCTAAAATTTGTCTTTTCGACTTCTCATAATCTATGACACGTTGTTCATGCGACATACATCTCATCTTACACGGCACTTAAATTCAGGAATCACTTACTTTTCATTGACTTGCTATATCAAGCATATATCACCATCTACTATCGCATCGGGTGAATTCAATACTAGATGCCTATTGTCGGGATCATGCATTGGAGCTCTATGCGAGATCAGTTCTAAAGGAGAGATCTACCTTCCCACGAGATCGGTGGTAATTAAAAAGGGAATATGTCTCGCTATGTTCAATTGTATTTTCTTTTACGATTTTAGTGCTCGCCAAACGGGTGTCCAAGGTTGGCAAACTATAGAGCGCCTATGAAAAAAAATGCACTTTTTTATTGCGAAAGAATTTTATTAAGTGGCCATTTTGATTAAAAGGTGGAAGCTCATTTAATTATTAGGGTTAGTTTTTTTATCATGAAAAACCGTTTTCAGAATATTGTTTCCAAACTTTTCCCATTTTAAATGACGAAAAACTACTCGATCGATAGAAAAAAAAACTTTTTTCATAAACTAAAAAAGACAAGTCTAGATCGGAGAAAACGACTTCCAAATCATTTTCCCATCTTCTTGGCTTTCTCTCTCTCATCAGTTTGTTTCCTTTTTTT